ATTCAACTTCATTTATTTTTACAAATTGTTTCCTATCACAAATAAAATTTAAAATTACAATTAAAAGTACAATTGGACGGGGGAACTGCATATCCAACATTTTTCTCGCAAGAACATGGGGCTTTATAGTATTGAATGCCGACTGAAAGTCAAAATACATGATACGTGCAGAATGGCCTTTATTTGTATTATCAAGATGTGAGTATAGGCTGTGTAATTTATGGATTATAGCATCGCTGGTACTACGTAATGACCGATAAGCGAATTGCAATGGATCTAAAACCTTTTCTACATAGGGTTCCATTATTCGTAAAATAATACCGTACGTTCCAAAGTTTTCATAACAACAGAGGTAAGCGCAACGGGCCTTAGATCATTCATACAAGTAATTTTTGGGTTTTTTTGGGGGGGTACCGGTATTATGCATGAAAGTTTCCAGAGATCAGGAATGTATGATTTAAGAGACAAAGATTAAAAATAGAAGTAAAAATACCATCAAGATGAGGAGAGCAGGCCTTAAGTACTCGTGGTGGGATCTTGTCTGGACCAGCAGCCTTCGATGGATTGAGTTTCATGAATTCATTATGAACATCAGAAATACTAACAATGAATTTAGGGTCCTCTTCAGTGACCCGACACGAATTAAACAAGGACCTCCTCTCTTCCTTAAAATCGTAACCATTAAAACGATTATAAAATTCATTTAGCTCATTTACATATTGCACTGTTACATTCGGAATTGGAGTAGGTATATTACCACCATTTGTGTAGCCACTCATGAGTTTAATACCCTGCCAGACTTTTTTCATATTTTTTGACTTAAAGTTTTGTTCGACTTTTTTCCTAAATATATTCTTCTGTTTCTTAATTTCAGATTTAATCTCACTTGTCAGTCTTTTCATACGATTGGTATCACCCAACTTAAATGCTTGCCGTTTCTCACACAAAAGTAATTTGACGGCTTTTGTTATCCAAGGTTTGTTATTAGGATAAATTTTAACTATTTTTACTGGCACGCATTTCTCAATACAAAAGTTTATGTAGGCGCTCACTGATGTTCAAATGCGCATGTGTAAAAGCATAAGTAGCAGTATAATCGGATTTAGATTCCTAACGAAGCCTCAATGATCAAGTTGGTGAAGGTGCCTGCATAGACAGCAGGAGGTACCGAGTTCGAATCCCGGTTTGGTCAACTTTTTTCACACTTGCAGATTAATATTTTATTAACGTTCAAAATTTATACAATTTTTGCTGAATAAGCTCAATTATTTAAATATTTATGCACTCTATTTTAGATTTTTTTTGGTTAAAAACAACAAATTATCCAGCACTTAGACTTACCTTATCACAAAGTCAACTTCCATTTCTTTTTAGAACCCGGTAAGCAGCAGAGTTTAATTAAATTCAAGATTGTGTTGTCTTCATGTAGAAATCTGTCACAAGTTTCGTACTGATTTATTAGTAGGTATAATAATAATAATAAAACTTAATACATGATTGATATTCTTAGTAATAGTAGATATATCAAAATTGAAACGATAACCTGAATGGCATTTTGTTCTATAATTAGCATTTAATGAGAAAATATAGATATTACCGCACTATTGGTGACAAGAAATACACAATCAAAATACCTTGATTGAAGTACCTCTGCCAGTAGTTACATTCATTTGTAATATACGTGTCGCCAATAATGTCTATTCATGATATTAAATGACAATTATATATAACAAGCTGGCTAACCTGATATATTTACTAAGAATGTCGATAATATATCACTTAGCTATAGGCTATTTTAAAATTATACGTTGAATTGTTTATTCACTAGGCGTTAGATAACCACCATTATTACTAACTTGAAACTCGTAAGGGAAAAGCATTATGAGCTACCTGAATTTTTAGTCTGTAATGTTAAGAATCAAGAATAGAGATATGAGGATATATTTAACAAGCCTAATGAATATTATGATGATTGTTAATATATTATCTAAGCCTTAAAGTACGTTTTAGTAAATATTAGATAATGAATAATTGATAATAGAAAATAGGCCTAGATAAAATGGATAATGGATAATATATAATAAATAATAGATAATATGCAACATGCAGCAGTCAATAGGCAATAGATAGATAATAG